GCTGAGAATCAGAACTTCTGGCCAAACACTCGCCGGCCGTGTTTATATTTCCGGCGGCCAAGGTGGAAATCAGCACTGCTGGCCAAACACTTGCCGGCCGTGTTTATGTCTCCGGCGGCCAAGCTGAAAATCAGCACTGCTGGCCAAACACTCGCCGGCCGTGTTTATATTTCCGGCGGCCAAGCTGAAAATAAACACTTGTGGCCAAACGCTTGCCGGGCGTGTTTATGTCCCCGGCGGCCAAGCTCAAAATCACCACTGCTGGCCAAACACTTGCCGACCGTGCTTATGTCCCCAGCGGCCAAGCTGAAAATCACCACTGCTGGCCGAACACTTGCCGGCCGTGTTTATGTCTCCGGCGTCCAAGCTGAAAATGAGCACTTCTGGCCAGGCGCTTGCCGGCAGTGTTTATGTCTCCGGCGGACAAGCTAAAAACAGCTAGTTTGTGGCCGGACCCTTGCCGGCCTTGTTTATGTCTCCGGCGGCCAAGCACTTAAAGTGGCCAAGCTGTCCAGACACTGGCCAACCGTCGGCCGATCGAAATTCACTTTCTGGTGCTGCTGGGGAGGTAGCCAGAATCCCACTGGAGAGATCATTAGTGCCCTATCCTTGACGTTAATATCAGCGCCCTATCCTTGACGTTATCAAAGAAACAGCTACACTCTTTGGGAAATGAAGGGATTAGATGCCAGGTGAGATACAACAAATATTGCTGCGTCTCTCGTTACGAAGAATACTAAGCAGTCGTGCTTCGTATCATGTTGTAAGTCAGTGCTCTTTGTTTCTGGGTGTTTGTCCTGTGTGTGTGTTGCTGCCATGGGCTGTTCTTGTTGTGCAAAAAACTGGCTCACGCAAAGAGTTCGTCGGGGCACAGAAACACATGTCAAACACTTATACAAAACTTTAAAGTATAAAACAGAGAGGACGAGGACAGGAGCAGGACATCCTCTCTGTTTTATACTTTCAAGTTTTGTATCAATTAACCAACACGCTCGTTTTCAATTGTATCAAACACTTATGCTAGTAACAAGAATAAGGTGCAGATAACGGAAAGAGATAGGCGAAGAAATGAGTCTGAGGGGCGGGTTCCGACACACGACGGAGTGCGAACTTGGCCATTTGCCTTCACGAAAGGGGTCTATGGAAGCAAGATCGTGTAAAATATATTGTAAAAATAAATAGTTCTACAGGCTCCTAAAATTATAAAGTTGATCGCTTAGATGATTTGAAAAATGCACGAGAATAAAATACTGATTAGGGGATATTTTGAAGCAATTTAGGCTCCTGTAATGCCCATTAAACCGCAATATTAAGAAAAGTATCCGTGCAAGCTATTAGGGTTTCTTATTATCTTCATAATAAAATCATTCGAAAGTCAATGTTCTGGATTCTTGGTGAGACTAAGGACCTAAACTTTGACATATGAATTGCGTAGAGTGGGGATCTAGCTCTGAAGTCATTATAATAATCTGGATAGATCACGCATGAGGCCAAGTAATCTTTACCAAGAAATACTTCTAGAGCGTAATTTAAAACGCGAGAATGAGTCTGTGATTAAATTTATTATTAATAATGCGTCTTTTTTTAGCGTCAACATGATAAAATAGAAGTTTGAGGATGCTTTTGGTTGAAAATGTGTTTCGTGGCAAAAACATTACAATAAATGCTGCCTGTTTTTCTAGGAAAGTTAATTTAGTGTTGTAGGTATCTCATTCATGCGCCTAAAAAGTGTTAGTGAGATTTGCAGTGCCATTCTTAGGCGAATCTTTTTAGCATATCAGTGAACAAATCTATTGAAGTCCGGAAACTACGCAGGGCACGACACGATACTACTGAGCGCGACTGCGTTTGATTTTTTTGCTCGCTACAAAATATTACCGAGAGAAGTGTAGACACCAGCAGAATTAGAGTTTCTGCGCACCGCTATCCACCAATGAAAATAAAAAGGGACGTCATTCGCTTTATTGTAAGTGGCTTAAGACAAGTGTTGATACAATACTGGATGCTTACCTGACTATACACGAACTCAACTCTCCTACGTCACGCCACGGTGGTGGCGCGTCGGGCGCACTTCCGGTCTGGGGCAGCGGGCAGAAGTCGCCGTGCGAGACATGCATTCCTGTGTTCTTTAGGAAGAAACCAGACAAAAAACCTGCCATCTCGTCAAAATGCTGCGACGGGGGCTGTACCGAGAGAGTCTGGAAAGGTTTGAAGATTAGTTTTCATGTTTTTCTGCCCCCTCCATTCGTCCGAGAACGTAGATAGTAGCCGTGAAAAGGACAAACCAGACGCTGTCGAACTACGATTGCTTGAACGGGCAACACTTTCTGGTCGCCAGATGTATTTGTTTTGTTCCAACATGAACGAGAGAAAACCGCCAAGTTGTCCGAACCACCCACGGGTTCAGGGCGTCTTCAAATATACACGGCTCCCTGATCGTTCGAACTTTCGTGTGCTCTTTTAAACTAGTCTGCTTTTTGTCGTCTGCTCGTTCAAACCAAAGCGGCCTGTAGACCAAACTTTGACCCGGTGATTGCAATAAGAAGTAATTGCAGGCCTCAGAAGACTTAAGTAGTCTCGGTGTAAACAGCAGATATAAGATGTTGATCATTGGTACCAGTTCTTGTTACGTTTGGTCTGTTCCCGCTTCCGATTTTCAGTATCGACTTCGATCATCGCCGCTTCCTTCTACACTTTCGCATGACGAAAGACGTCGCGACTCAAAATAGCTAGAAGAATCTCATCATAGTATTGGTGTCCATTCTGCGGCGATCACTCAAATGAATCGCCGCACGTCAAACTATTTACGCAGTGTTTAGCGGCGTTAGGAGCTTTGATAATTTCGCTCAGGCGACAAAAGTGGTAAGACATTGCTATGAGGACGTAGAATCGAAAATTCCAACTCGAATAAGAGTATGCAGACTCACACAGACGCCGACAACGTGAAAAACCCAATGGTCTGTTGACGCGAGACACGGTGCTTTTTACCCAAACTCCATTGCGCATGCGTTCGAACTGTCGTCTGCTCTTTCAAACGTGTCCACTTTTTGTCGTCTGCTTGTTCAAACGACAGCGGCCCGTAAATCAAACATTGACCCGGTAATTGCGGTAAGAAGTAAGTGCAGGCCTCAAGACACTTTTAAGTTTGAAGGTTGGTTGGGCTAATTAGGCTCAGTGTAAACAGTAGATACAAGATGTTGATTGTTGTTACCAGCGGTCATCACAGACTTGTAATGCCCGATTCTACTTGCGGTTTTAAGTATCGACGTCCACCATCGCAGCTACGGCCCACGCGTTTGCAGCCTGAGTGACGTCGCAACTGAAAACCGCGAGCAGAATCACATCGTGGGAGTCAGGCTTTAGCGCCCATTCTGCGGCGTCCAAGTGAAATGAATCGCCGCACGTCACATTATTCACGCAAAGTTTTCCCTCGTTCATTTTGCTGAAGCCGCTCAAGTAGTCAGACATTGTTAGGAGGACGTAGAATCAACAATTCCAACGCTAAAAGGAGCACGGGGACTTCCACCGACGCCGACAACAACTCAATTCAATGGTTTGTTTCGGGCGACGACGGGCTTCTTGCCCACCGTCCACCGCGCATGCGCGGCGCCGGTGGCATGTGCTGGGGGTGCTCCGGTTTGTTTGTATATATGAGTTGGTGTATACAACGGTGTCGTGCATGCCATTTTTTTCGCGAGGTGTACAGTGTACTAAAACTTTGTAGAGACTGGAACACGGCTAGTCGCACTTCAAGCCAACTAGTGTCACTGTCATCTTAAGAAACGCAGGCCTTGGCGGGTACAGCGCATCTCTTAGTCGCCCAGCAGCCAATGAGATGACGGTATTAGTTCATAAGAACGCCGAAAAACCAATCAGAAAGTGATGAGCTTGAACACCATAATTCACGCTCTGCTCTTTTTTAGTTTCAAGTGTCTACCGCTATGACAACCTTCACAGAACTTACCTTCAAACATTTTCAGAATTGAGACAGATATTTCAAAGGATATGTATGTATTTTTGTGCAGAGAGTAATAATAGGCTACAACAACTACCGTTTGAAAATTCTCATCGTAAGGCGTCGTTTTAAGAATATACTCAACTTTTCACTGACTCCTAAGCGCTTGAAGAGATAGCTTGCGTTGCAGACGGCAGGAATCACGCATTGATTCTCCATACCGGCCTGTTTAAATTTATAGATTCCGATCGCAAAAAAACCCGGCTTTTGAGACCTAATAAACAAACTACGCTTCGCAGAAAGCTGGAAGTTCGCCAGAATGTGACCCTAGCGGTAATTATGCAATGCGAAACTTTGAGAAGTCTACATTACCTGGATGAGAAAAAACTAAAGAAAACAGAATGTCTCTATCAGACGACGTCCACCTCAGCATAATTTTAATCAAATAAAAATATAAGATTGTGGGTGCCTCTCCATGAAAAAAAACTTCTCGGCATGAAAGAAATTAGTACCATCTTTCTAAGGTGGCCCGTTCTTTCACTGAAATAAAGTTCATAGGCGCCCACTCGGCTCATTCGCCTCATTAACAATTTTTTTTAAGTCTTTTGATCGAGGAAATGCCACCTGATCTAACGTTCAAATTTCATCACCACCACTGAAGTCACATTCTCATGGAGTTTGAGCTTTTTGCGAAACACATCTTATATATACGGGCTACAAATCTGGGATTACCTTTGTCGACCGGGAAGTATACATGAGTATCGTACCGGACTGTGGTCCTCTATCACTACTATGTAATGCACTCTAAAGACCCCAGTTTAGCAGTGGTACTGCACAGGCAAAATATTTGATCGTCAGCTGAGAATAAGGCTCCGATTGGGGTGTGATTAACTCCCGGCAGTCTAAATAAACACGCAACACAATTTTTTCCAGGTACTCTTAAGGGTTTAATTACCACACATGATAAGCACCATAATATATTTATTTTAAGTGGGCACGCAAATTTTTTACTGATATTTGTGGTGATATTTTTTCCTGCTTCAAGGTGATGCCAGCGTCTTTCTACAAATTAGAGACCTATCGCAAACAGTTTTGTACAAGCGAGGATTATCTGCACCAAAAACTAATGAATGGACATTGTTTGAACAAGATGTGAAAAGCCTCCCGTCACTCTACACAGTGAGTAATATCTGTTTTGTGTGTACTTCTTGTAGTGTGCAACGCACCCACAGATCCATCGTTCTTATAAGAATAAAAGAGATGGATCTGTGGGTGCGTAGCCCCCTACATTCTATTGTGACATTTTTCGTTGTGAATCCCGCATTGAGGTCATGCTCTAGCAGGAATGCCAAACTAAATTTTTCTCACATGTTAATAAATTGTATTTCCGCCCATAAATTATATTTTCACAATATGTATACTGTCAGAATTCAAATATCATCTATTTTTGAGACATGTACGCAGGGAGAAAGAAGTGAACTGAACCTTGAATATATTTAAGATTTATGGTGTTAAAAATAAAACGCGAAAAGCATAAAAATATTTAGAATTTATAAGCTACCTTGGATACATAAAATAACACACACTTCGAATATGCACTAGACATTTTAGGAGGCAGCAGGTATTTTGATATTTCTATGGTATATTTGAGAATATAAAACAGTTACCTTTTCATGAGATTTTTCATATCGCGTACATTCGCTGGGTGATCAATAGTGTGACGGACAACATTTTCTAGACTTGCATACCATACGAACTGATGGGGAACTTTTGAATTGCTTGCTTTATTTGAGTGCACATTATGTGCTCTATATTATGCGGCAATCGTTTGCATAGACTGAGTTTGACAGTTTCAGAATAACGTCACAATTGCATTGCCACCAATATATTGTCCATTTTCTCGAGCACAAAAAAATGTTAGAAACTTTCAGGACAATAAACGATTTTTAGGAAAGGGAAGAAATACAATTTCAAAATTTAATGACATGGAATAATAAAGTAAGTGATCTAGTTGTTTTGGCATGAGCAGCCATGGTAGCTCTCGTGCCTACATGCTTATACCTGTCGAAACAGTGCTGGGTGTTCAAAGCAATTTGTGGTACAGACTTCGCGAATGAACTTAAATGACATGTCGGAATGCTTTGTAAAGCATCTAAGCTTCTCTAATTATTTTTAATATCACTTAGGCTCTCGAAGCATTATGAGATACCTTTTCCGCTTTGAAATACCAGAGCTTCCCTGATACCTTTGTGACTATTCTCGGAATTACGGGAAATATCGGCTCGTCATCAGGCACAATCTGATTTACCTTGTTATCTTTTTTTCTAGATTCGTATTTTTGGTTCTCCCGGCACGGGAAAAAAGAGCGATGTTGCCATTGATGACATTGAAGTATTCTCAGGACCCTGCTCTAAGGGACCACTGGCGCCAACTGACGGTGAGTCATTACGCGTTCCAGAACTGTAAGCGCGTGAATGCTGTTAAATGGTTTTGGGGCCTTAGACATTTAAGCCAGCTGCACACATCGTTTGAACATATCACAGAACGCTTGCTTCTCTTGACCTTTATTAACTTAGTTTAGTTCATTATTACAAAAAAAAGTATTTATGTTGGGAGTCCAACGCTTCTCAATAGTTTGTTTCGTATTCACTATTCTTGCGAAACGTTTTGCTTCATGTGGTGCTAGGATTAGATATTATTGTTTTATTTGATTGACAATATTGTTCTAACAATTGAGATCGATTTTTTTATAAAAGCTAGGTATAGTTTTTATGCTGTTTCTTTACGCTTTCACACGTGACGAGAAGTGGCTTTTGAGTGCAGTCCAAGACAGATGTGGCACAAGCTGCAGTAAGCTGTTTCCCTTGTCACTTATTTCCAGCGAAGTGCCTGTTATCAAAATTGCGTATGCAGGGAAGGTTCTTGGCTCGTAAATGATAATATATGACGCTAAAATATTTGAAAAAGTTCAAAGAATGCATTGATACGATGCACCATGCAATTGACCGTTGCAATTGAATCAAACAATGTACCATAACAGTGTGACTGAGGGTCAAATCAGAGGCCATTGAAAGCACAATGATCAATGCGAAGTCTAGTTTTCTAAATGCATAGTACCAACTTATGTTAGATATATCTAGTACTCTTTACAAAAATACGACCTATTATATTGTGCTGAATTTCTGTTAAAAGAATATTCGAAAACTATGCATTTTTCGGGGAAATACATTATGGCTTACACACTCAATATTGGACAAAGGAACTGAATATGATGCCCATTTTTTGTGGCTCCTTATTAGCCGCCAAAATTTTGGTTGAAGAAACAAAAAGTTGCATAGCCACTTGACTTAGGCCAAATCTCTCCTCTATATTTCTACTTCCTCCCCAGCCCAGTTTCAGTCCCGGATTCGAGCAGTTGCGTTTTTTTACTTCATTAAAGACATGCATGACGCTGTAGCGAAATATTGATTGGGCTGTCCTCTGACTCTATAATAAATTGCCTCGCAAAAAATGATTGTGGGTGTCATTGTCCCTTTAGGACCAGTTGTTCGTACTATTGCCGTTATAAAGATCTCCAGGCACTTTTAGGTTGTCTCCCTAACGAGCCAAGTTCACTATGCAGTGAGGGCGATCAATTTGGGGAACAAAATTCTTCTGGTGGAATTGACCCCTACGAATGATACACCGGGTGCGGACTGTGGAATTAAATATACGCCACTCTCTACACTACACAGTGCTTTCGAACTTTATAAGCCCTAACAAAATTTAAAAGAAATAACCCACTGAATGAAGTTCACTAATAGGTTTTGCGAGATGTGCTTAGGTGATCGATTTACCATATCAAAATTTAACGATTGTGGGAGCTAGGCAAAAACTTAAGCCTTCGAAGTCCTGCTTTTTATGCACAGTAAAGAAAGCGGTACAAACTGTCTGGTTGAGGCAGTACCACACAAGCTCGGATCTGCTGGGCTGGAATTCGGTTGTTCTAAAAACTCTTTAATATTTCTTGCTCTATGTTGTGCCATCGGCGAGTGGCTGCTTCAGCAAGACATTTTCCCGTTTTCCTTGTGCATTGAAAAAAGTATAACTTATCGAAGGAACAGGCGAGGAAACAAGAAATAACTGGGGGAAACTGAAACTTTTAATGAAGCCAACTGGTGCCAAAAACAAAAAGGAAACTGAAGATAACAGCAGAGCGTCGCAGGTTTTGAAGTCGGCGTAACAGCAGATTCGAACGCTAGGGCAAGACTGACTCACGGTCGTCATGCGGAGCGAGCCCCTCATGTACACGCGTTGGCTTCTGGAACAATCGGCCCAGAAGGTTCGACGACGAGAACGGTCGCACCTCGAACAAGTAACAGGATTCTCGAATTTACTAGAACACTAAATTGCAAGGATAAACAATTGACGTTTCGCTCCCAGGAATAGAACCCTGGCACTTCGCGTGGGAGGCAGGCTGGATAACCGTTAGGATGCACTGCCGCGCTGCCTACTTGGCAAGCTGCACGCACGGCATTATAATCCTTGAACATACGGGTGAATTTCATAAAGAGCTTTAAACATACAAGTTTCTGCATGGTTGTAGTAAATCCCCCGAATAAGCTTTAAACATTTCCCGCTCAATTGGTGATTTTTCTGATGTTCAAATGTGGTGGTAGAATTGCCAAACCACTGTACCACACCGCACAAAAAAATAGCGGCAAAGGTAAACGTTTCAAAATCGAAATATTGCCTTTTTTCTCATGAAATAATTTGGAAAATTTTGAAAATAAACGGTTTGACAGCAAAAGTATATTAAGAAAATTAAAACAGGAGGAACCGTTGTTGATGGTATATGCTACGAATACAGATGGGTCATACGATTCGAGGTGTTTATAAGTACAGTATTTTTAGTTATTTCAGGTTCCGAAGTTTACATGCTTGGTACAGTGGTTTCAGTAATGCACCGCCACACTTTTTGGGCAATGACAGCTTACAAAAGAAGATCGCAATTAATAAAAAAAAACTTTACCTCCTCTTAAGTTCTAACTCAAATGTGCGCATGATTTTTTTTCTTTAACCTAGGGCTTATATTTTATAACCACGAAGTACTGGCCGTAACTTGTTGAAACCGCTTGCTCAACAGTATACGTCCAGAGAACTATGGTGCATCTTTAGGATAATATTTTTATTTTCTTCAGAGAGGAATCTCGCGATCAGTCTACTGAGCACGGAGGTTTCAGATTGATACCACTGTTTGTGTCACTTTAGACTACGCTTCTTTGTGGGATCGCTTTAAAACCACCATACCCCGAAGGTTTAAACGCCGTTTTAAAATCTACAGTCATAGCATGTTGTGTATGATGAATTCACAACATAAAGACGCCTTTGAAAAAAGTTTTATTGCACTCAGTTTGTTGTTTTATGGTGATTTTTTTTTTCACCCAAACAGCGCTTGGAAACATTATGTAGAAGAAAACAATCAGATGTTGATCGTTGTATAATGTCGTAAAGAACTTACAAAACGTGCTGGCGGTTTCTATATCTGCTGGAGACATCCAAGTGCGCCACTCTTGATCGTACCACGTTTTGTGGCTTGGTTTCAATAAACACACATGACAAAGTAGTTCTAATGTTGTACATGTTACGAATAGATCCTACCTAGGTGTGCAAAAAAATCAGGTTTTGAAAATATTTAATGCATTTTGAAAGTTGCGAAAGGAAAAAAAAAATAACCTTGCTTTTTCAGAGCCCTTAACAGGAGCTTCCTCTTCAACTCAACCATCTGATGTGACATTTGTGATTCCGACAGAAACAGGTATGAATATAGAAGCGTGGCTTCCCCACATAATGAGGTATAGCAATATTTCAATATTTTTGTTCAGTAAAACCAGCTAGATTACCCAATTATGCCTGACATTTAATATTTACGCGGCTATAATATCAAAGGTACCTGATGAGGGTGCCAGAATTGGAAACCACTTGGGAAACTGGTAAAGGGTTGATAACCGGTACTGTACATAACGCAAAATAATTTAAAAATTGTTTTCAAGGATACTTGCCAAATGTAACTATATGCAATGTTTGTTTGTATAGAAATAACGCTTTGTGCCTGTGCACAGTATACTAGGCATATATGCAAATTTGTTAGAAAGAATTGCTATATGAATATTTCAGAAAGTCTAGAGAGGAGAGCTAATCTAGGTAAATTGTAATTTTTAAGTGAGTTAAATGATATTTATTTGTTTTAAAATTTTTTTCTCTAAAGGATGTTACTTTGATTTAAATAAATTTAGTCATTTAAAATAGTGCATTTTATCGCTAGGTTGACTGATCAATTCCTCGGACGGCTCAAAAAAAGGCCGAAGAAAGAGATACGGTGTATTTAAAATGCTGTATAATTAAGTGTTTTAATGAGTGAACAGTTAAATAGTACACAGCACAGCTTTATATTTTAGGTCAGTGAAAATAAATATTGATATTTTTGGCTTTCCGATTCTTTTTTTCGATAGAACATTATTTTTTTGTATTTGCTTTTTCTTTCGCGTTTTACTTACTAAGCAATGAGACGTTATGTGACTAAAGAACAAACTGAACGGTAGAAAAAAAACTCTATTTTCCGATTTTCTTGGAAAACCAATCTCTTTGCTTGCCTTCAAGCTGATATAGATCTTGCTTGTTCAATTATTTATGGATTTAATGCACAGAGAGAGCATCGTCTGGTTACCATTTGGTCAACAAACATTACAGACGATTACGCGTCGTTAAAATGAGAAATTAAAGCGCAGCTCTTGAGGTGTGTTAAAATTATTTTTAATGTCTTTAAGATTGTTTTTAATTTTTAGTTTTTATTTATTCATTTATATTTATTTATATCTACAATTGCTATGATGCTCCTACTTCATTTATTTATTTCTTTTATTTTCGTCATGTATGTCTTCCGTGTAATTTATTTCGCTTCTTCCTTCTCTGCTTTATTTTTCCATTGAAACCCCAATTGTCAGTATAGCGCTGTCCTGTCTACTTCATGTCCATGTCTGTCCTTTGCGCTTTTTAATTCCAAAGCATTATAAGACATCACAGACCTAGAAATCAATTCAGTTTCTCTGCTATATTTAGCGGGGAATAGAATTGGCGTAATGACCTGTGACGTCCCATAACGTAACGCGCGCGGCTACGACGACGGCGACGGTGACGCCGACGTCACTATGCGCAGAAACGGGCACCTAAGAGCTGTGCTCTAAAATAATTTTGGTATTATTTTTCAGATGTTTTTTAATAAATCACCATAGTAATATCGGTCTGATTAAAATTACAATTTAAAGCTTATTATAAATCATGGCTGAAACATTTTTTTTTATTTTTTTCGCCCTGCAGTTAAGTAATGGTTAAGTATTTAAATGCTTCACGGCATCAGAAACATTCTTTCTCCACAATATCGCCTTCTACTAGGATAAATAGAAACTGTGTCAACTGTGACAAAATTATAACTAATTCTCCAAGGAATATGTAAGACTAGCGAGTCGAATAAATTATGACAAAGAAAGTGTCGATCTTCGTGAGTTCAGAGGACCCAGGATCATTGCTCTGAGTAATGAGTTAGTGTTTCTTTCAAATTTGTTCTGGATCGTTTCGATAAAAATAATAGTGGATTTTATTAAAATACGAAAATGAATCAAATTGTGATTATACTAATAAAACACTAGGTATAAATCTAACATTGAACACATGCCCGTTAGCCCCGTAAGAGCCATCAAGGTGCAATGCATGACGATGATTAAGGACCTTTGTTATTTTAATCACTGCATGGGAAAATCTTTTTGTGAGTCCTTCCGTCCCACCCTAATGTAACTAAAAATATTAACTAAAAAGACATTTACGGGTTTACCGGCTGTTCTATTCCAACCAAAAATATATTGCTGCACACAAGCAGAAAACTATATCAAGCTACAAAGCATTCTTATTGCGTGTTTATGCAGCTTTGCATTGTTTAAAAAGGTCACTTTGCGTAGAATTGAATGAGTGGTGTGACTGGAGTCTGACGATTGTGTTCATGTGGTTCATTTGCTAGCAACTGTCGGGCTTAGATAAACTGTTGACATCTTTTATACACTCTTGCCCGTGACAACGTTTGGTTCCAAAAGTGTGCTTGAAATATTCACAAAACGTGCTCCTTCACCAAAGATTTGATTGCGCACCACCTCTTCAAGGCTGCTGGCCCATTGCTCGCCGTCATGCCTTCAAAATAGCTGCAATTAATCCGCATGCGTGAAATATACCACGTCGGGCATGGGATATATAGAAAGGAGTCCATTAACAACCTCAACAAAGTTCCATCATGCTACATTTCTTTTTAGACTACTTCTTATGAACCAATGTACCAAATAATCTTGAGCGACACTGTGTAGTATCGAAAAGGAGGAGCTATGCATATGTATATGTTGTTTTACTGAAATATCTATAGCTAACTGTTGGACATGTAATTTAAGTCCTAGGGCATTACCTTTCTTTACAGACTCTCCTAGAGATATTACAACACCTGGAGCAGCCAGTAGTGCACGGAGCACCTCACCGGACGAGCCTTCGACAGTTCCTGCTGCAACCTGCAGTTCTGAAGAGTTTGACTGTCGAGACAACAAGAACTGCATCCCGTTGGGCCTACTTTGTGACGGGGTGCAAGACTGCCCCAACGGCCTGGATGAAAAGTGCGGTTAGTATCACCCTTTTTCTTTTTACTGACAAGAAAGCAGACTCGTTGCCTGTGGAAGCGATTTTTTTAAACGCTGCCACTGATATGTCTAGCGAAAAATGATTTCGTTATGGTAATGCCAACATTCTTTAAAAATGAAATGCCTTATTTAGTTAGCTTAAACTTTTTCAACACGGAGCGTGTTTAAGCCCAAGGTGCGTAGATTAATGTGCAAGAATAGTGCAACGCAAAGGTCTAAACTTTAGTTTGATTAAAATGCATGGTGTACAGCACACCACGCGGAAAGTCCATAATAAATAGCTTGACTGAATCATGTGTCCTTGCGCTTACACATAATGTGCGGCACGGTAAGTACCGCTAAATACAGCGGGAAGTTTTTCCGACTAAACTGAGAAGGTAACTTTAACTATCACGCTCAGATACGTTAAACTTCTCAAGATATAGCGCAACACTTGGGATCACAAACCACCATAAACACCCAGCGCAACTCCAAACACGCCGCACATTCAATACTTTACAAATATGTCCATTAGATTAAGACACTGGTATTTATTAAGGTTGGTATGTTTTGCGTGTGCATAAAGTTAGTTATTGCCCCGGTAGGGGAGATTTTCCGGCCGAAATTTGAGGTTTCACTTAGTTTAGGGCCTTGCAAAACTTGAAATCAATGTAGAGCCTAAAATTACCTTCTTTTTTTAGAGTCTGTGGTATCTTGGCCCTAAATCTGCAAACTATTACTACAGTTCAGCTTCACTGAGAGTAGTTCGGCTATCATCTGGCATCTTTGAGATCTGAAGGGGTAAACAAAACCCAGAGATAGGCTTCATTTGTGGTTGTTCGGTATTGATGTAACAACTTTGGGCCTAAATTGCCAACAAGAGCAACATTGTGGCTTTATTCCGTTTAGTTTCGCTGTCATCCGGGATTTTATTTTCACTCAATTTTACACTTTGGATATTATATGACGACCAAGAAAAATAAAAAAAAAGAATGCAAAAGAAACACTCTATTTTAATGGGGGCAAGCGCGATACGTGGAGAAACGTAAAGAGGAAGACCGGAGAGAGCACTGCATCCTGTCTCCCTATTTACATTTCTTCTCAGTCTCGCGCTTCCCCATATCAAACTATGCTTAACCAACTAGCTCCCCAAATGATCTCAAAAGTCATTGTGGAAAAAACGAACATCTTGGAGGCAAAACCATATTATGCCCAAGTTAGGCGCCACGATTGCGAAGCTTGCGCGAAGTTGGACGTTTCTCTCGCGTGCAACCTGGGTTAGCATCAGTTTTGTCGAGCTCGTATAAGCTGGGGCCTCTAAAAAAGATAACTAACCCCATCTACTTTTGAACAAGAACGACCATTGGAATCGCTTTTTGTATTATATTAACCATACATTGTGTTACCATAAATATTGTTTAGTAGAACCAATTTTATAAAATGACATTAGACTTTTTTAACTCCCGCTTTCTCGTTGTGTTGTTCAAATAAACGGCGGCGGTTACCGAAGCACTGCACGCATAAAAACTACATACAGTCGCATTCCACAACTGCCCATATCGAGATACGACGTCACGGTGTAGCGTGGCATTCTTGAGCCGCATGCCTGACATCTTAATGTTACGTCCTTGTGTCACGTGACGTATATGTGTCACGATATGTCACTATACGTCCTATGACGTGACTGTAGCACTTTACGTCAAGGTGTCGCATGACGCCAGGGGACACGGCGACGAATGGCGAAGAAATGATATTGGCAAATCTTGCGGATAGGACTTCCGACGAGATCCTACACGCAGGAAACATATACGGTGATCCACGCAGAAACCTCGCCTAAAAGGTCTGTCACCGTACAAAACGAAATGAGTAAACGCAACCGGAAATATGGTTACTATAAAAACATAATTCAACGAAAGTTAAACGTACACGTGCACCGCTGGAAAGGCGCCGTTGGTTCGATAATAACCGACAGCTTAAGACACACGGAGGGTTGCCTACTATCGTGGTCCCGCCTTTTCCTTTAGTGAGCTTCTTTAGAGCGTTTTTTTGTCGGGTGGTGCCACAATCTCCTGGGTTGCGGAGGAAAAACATGATTTTTGGGATTCGCCAGGTTCTACGTTGTTTGTTATATGTCACTATGGCGTTCGTCAGTAAATCGGTGCGGAACTTAATAAATGCAGCCACCCGTACTGTGAAATCATTCCCATTGTTCCTGTTGTGTTACAACCACGATTGCCCGTTGGCAGATATATTTCGCGTATTCCTGTTTTTCGGGAACATGGGCCGAAATCAACGACACGATTCGACGAAACATTATCGAGCTGCGCCAAAGGTGCCTCGTCAGGGTGCTCGTCGTTTTTGTGTTTCCTATCTCCGCCTAGACCAATCACGAAATAAAAAACTCCGCAGGATCACGACGCATTTACCTTGCGTGGTTTGTTGGATCTGGTGAGAGCAAACGCCATATATATATATATATATATATATATATATATATATATATATATTGTCCCTGTTAGATTTCGGCTATCCCGCTTGTACATTCAGAGGTACGAAGCTCTAGTTGAAAGTATTACTAAATAAACCAGACTGCACCACTACACCTTGCAGGACACGCATTCTTGCTGCGTTCTGGTTGTTATTTTAGTGGTACCGCATATTCTTCGTGATTTGTAAAATATCAAATCCAGATGCCTTTGTGATAACACTTTCACTTGTGCCCGCAGGTGGGCGCAACAAGTGCGAGAAGTCCTTGGCCTTCTGTCCAAGCGGGTCACCGGACTGGTGCATAAACCGCGACTTTCTGTGCGACGGCCACAACGACTGCAGCGACGGATCCGACGAGACTCTTTGCGGAAGTAAGTACAATGTAAAGAACTCGAAAGCAAGTCGTTGGCGTGGATTTGACATCAAGAAAATAAGCAGCATCACTTTTTTTTGTTGAATTGGCGGATACCTTTTGGGCGCTACACAGATACGCAAACCTGCTTTGGGGCTACTAGCCAAAGCATTTTCCAGAGATACCAAGCAGCAGGCTTCCATATTTGCAACGTAACAATACGTGTTTCTGGATTTGGCACTTTGTTAATTGAAGTGTCATAGGCACTTTGCATATATCCAGCTGACCTCTTTTCATTTCGTCATTCGCTTGAGTGGGCATAATACCATTTAATGAATTGATAAATAAAGCCCAATTGTAACGTTTGTTTCATATCTGAATAATATATGTAATATTACATAATATTCGCAAAAGGCTCTTTTGTATTACACCGGCATGGGTCGATGCACTGTCCAAGAAACGCAAGTGATTCAGCGAATATAATTGCCGAAAAAATACTTTGCGATAATGGGGTTCGACGGACTTATCTAACAGATTTTATTTTAAAACCAATTCACATTTGCAGGATTTACCTGACTATTCTTTTATCTACTTGAAAGATAATGTTTACCTACTATTGCGCGGAAATCTGAAAGGGATACTCAACAGGTTTTTCAATAGTCACCCACTTGATTGGAATTTCGCTAAACTCACCCACAACACAAACATCACTAAAATAGTATCCCAAATATTAGGTAAAAATATTTGTTTTCTGGCGAATTTATTGAATTTACAGTTTCGATACTCACCATGTTTTTCAACCTGAGTTTCTACTGGCAACAACGAAAAAGTAATAAAGTGGAAGGCAGGGGTTCACTCTTTGGACTCTAGAATTCGTTCCCGACTGAATCGAAGCAATTTCATGGCGTCAAATGAAAGCTTTGGAAGCTCGCTCCAGTACCTGCGCTCCAGCACGGAACAAATGATTGGCTTTTTTTTTTTTTCTCCTCAACTGCTCGCTCGACTGGCACGCCTGCCTGCCACTGAACTCACGGCACTGAAAAGCGAGGGTATATTTCAATGTTTTCTACATCATTTTCATTTGCCGATTTTAAAATGACTGCTATGAATTTCGCCATACTAAATAGCTTACGGAAAAGGTAATGGTCGGGGAATCAGAAAATATAGTAATTTGCGGTTCCTCCAAAAACCTGTGGAGTGCCTTTTTAACTCCAAATAAAATAACAATATGACATTATGTGCATGATTCTGAAGAAAAACGCTAAGACAAATTTGACGCTTGGTGATAGTTGTCTAACATACTTTCTCTGTAAGATGTCATGTTAATGACATTGATTTACATATCCCTTTAAAAATGTTTGAGTTAGCTGTCGATCAAAGAAACTTGGGAATGCAGAAAGGCCGGACGCTATCTGAAGTGTGTTTTGTTTTATGTGTGTACTTCATCCATAATTGGCCAGGAAAATAATTTTGTAATTATTTTCCTGTAGTTATTTGTAGTTATTAAGAAGTGATTCGAAGATTAGTTCGATTACTTTAGGTAGTTCTAAAATTGCTCGTAACCATTACTTTCTCCCACCCTTTCAAGTGGAACACTTGGTTTGAGCAAGTTTTTTTATCAAGAAAGCCTAAAACTAAGTGTCCGACAGAATAATGGTGTTCGAAAACTGCTGTATTAAGAAGACAGGTCGTTTGTATTCCGAGATTCTAAACTAAAAATGGACACGGATAAAATGCTAAAAAAACAGGCGAGCTGGAGGCGATTCATATTTGGAAGACTTTGAAAGTGCCACTTTTTGCCTCTTTTTCACAGTTTTGAAGCTTTTAAAACAAATAATGGAGAGTACGAAAGACCATTCCTCAAAGAGACAGAACTTTTTTATTTTTTAAGTTTGATTTGATCGAAAATTTAGCGGTCACTTTTTCAAATAATGGTGAATTCATTTTGTTGTCCTGTAATATTAGAATTGTGATCAAATATTATTAGATTAACGTATACCGAACTGTCTTGTTCAAAAGAAGAATTGTAGGTTCCGCTGAAGAAAATACATATTTTCAGAGTATTCTTTAAATGGTCCATTAGCTACTCTAAGTAATCTGGAGTGTCTATTTTCTTACCAAGCACTCGAATAAGCCAGGGGGGGGGGGGGGGGGGAGGCTGACCCACTTGGCGAATAACAAGGCTAAAAATACTGTCGACCCCCCAAAATGTCTGCACTGTGGAACAGCAAAGTGAACCGCTGAATTGAGTGCCACTGCGCAGACCTTTTTTATGTGACCATGTATTCAGTATTTTGTCTCGCCCCAATACTTTGACTGAAAGTTAACGCTCCAGTTTTCGAATGGGCGCATATCGTGATCCTAGTACGTTTTTTAAATTTTTTTTTTTTTTTTATAGAAGTATTGTCTACTATGTGATTAACGTAAGTTCTGGAACGACATCACAACGCTTTCGAACCGACAACACGGGATCACACTGTTCAACATATTATGCCTAGTCGAAATAGACCGCCTGCTTTTCCACCTGTCGCGGTAGGTTGCCCTTCTTCGTTTTGTCTCAACGGAGGCCAGTGCAAGGTCTGGACAGATGGTGGATTCCCAACGTGCACGTGTCCAGATGATGTGTCTGGGAATCGTTGCGAGCACGTCGCTGGCAGCACGGCCGAGGAGCAACGATATTCTACAGGTAAGCAGTCACTCATTGAAGACACGTCTTGCGCGGAATCCCGCTATAATGCCATGCCCAACTTGATTATAAAATAAGGAAGTGTGGGAGAGGAGGACAGGAGAGAGCGAGGGGACGTCAAATCACCGAGCTTTGATTCGATGGATAGTGAATAGGCGCAAAAACCTGTAGTCGTCCCGCTCACTGAACGAACGCGATGGAGCGCCAGACGCTGGTTTCCGGTGTTGAAACGTGAGACACTGCGCGAGGCGCGAACGATGCACGTGTTGGCTCGGATTGCAGTGAGATATTAGCAGATATACGCAGCTTGCGTTTGCGCCATACCACTAACCAGCGCTTAAATGAGAACTTACAGGTCAACATCATATATTGTTTTATTATTCGAAACGATTGAAAACGATGCCTGGATATTATCCTCAAAATTCGTAACTTGGGAACTCAGTATTTGTGAAGTGAAAAAAGAAATTTCCAAAAGGCGAATTTGTAGTTCCCGTATGATGCACGCCAGTGCACTGACCTCAAAGATTGAGTTGTCCTATAACTCCAGTTTCTCTCAGACCTGCGAGCCGGCCCCTCCGGATGTACGGTGTTCGCCCGCGTCCTGCGATCAACCGCGCTTCTCCCGGGCGTGCTGCCTATCGCTGTGAGCAGACGACGCTTCACTTTCGAGCTTCAAGTTCTTTTAGGGCCCTCTCAGCGACCTCAAATTCTTTCAAAAGGTGTGAGGTCAAAGAGAACACGTAGTGGACCTTTCTGGGCGACGTGAGGGACCACCTTGGCCCGGTTTTGAGGGAAAGGGTGCCCCGGCAGACTCACAGTCGAAACTACGGTACAGAGGCATCAAACCCAGCTGTTTTGACTGTTTGACGGTGTTCTTTTCGAGGTCTGGAAGGTCGTCGGCCACCTAAGAAAGAGTTTCGTGCGATAAACCAACTCCCCGTTCATCCTCAGTGCTACAAGTTCCGACTGCCACCGTGCTTTCCAAGGAATGATCAAAAGTCAGGAGGCCACATCGCTTCAGGACTCCGATTTGCGGTATTTCAAAAAGAAGGGCTGTAGTGCGTTCGCAATTGCGTTAAAAACATGTTTTAGGAATGCCGTTATTAAATATTATTAAAATGTGGCTTACAAAGTTCTTAAATAATCGATTATGCCTTACATAAAAAGAAGCGAGCCGGTGAAAAAAAGGAGAGAATAGCGCTAACAAAAAAGGCGCGCCCGGGTGTAATAAATGTTGTTGTTGTTGTTTTTTTGTTTCACGTTGTGGTATTGTTTTGCGTGTCTATGACTTCAACGTGCATCGTTTCGGAAAGACAAATCGACCTTCGTCCCGTCAGCGTCTGACTTCTTGGGTTTTATGCAATTACTGCTAAAGCAACAGTAACGATATTGATAATATTGTATGTGATTTCTGCGGCTTAGCTAGGTTGAAAGGTGAATTGTATGAACAGTATCATGAAAGCTGACATTGACGAGAAATTTTAAAATTTATATGGCAGGTCCTTGGGTACTATGGAACGCTTGTTCAGGGTGACTCCGAATTACACTCGAAACTGTGTAAATAGGGAATTGATCGAAATTGCCGATCACTACGGAGCTGAAGTACCACCGTTCCCATGATTCCTCGAGTGCGGGCCGGGGCACTAGGGAGCGTTGTAGACAATAAAAATATATAAAGTGTTGATTTCAGGCTTTTGTCCTACATTTGAGATGCCTGGCCAGATCTGGAATTTCCATACTTAGCCAGATCTGTGATTTCCAAACCTAGCCAGGTATATCCGACTATATCTGACATTATGAGGCGATATCTGGCAGATATACCACGTCAGGTTATATCTGGCTAATTTTTTTATATGTGCCATATCTGAAATCTTTAAATCTGGAGATATATATATATATATATATTTTTTTTGTAACGGAAGGGTGTAAATGAAGCTGGTACCTGAGCATGCTTTTCAAAAGCGCGTTTCAGGTTATACTTTGATATGATGCGTACACTCTAAGAAAAAAGGGAGGAGAAAGGTAGCAAAAGCGACTGTTCCTCCTTGTTGCGGACAAGTTGCCCAGAGAAGGGAGGAACGGCAGTTCAGATGAAAGGAGGAGGGTGAGTTCCTCCTTGTTCAGTTGGCGCAGGGGTAGAACATCGCGCTATCGACCAAGTGGTCAACGGTTCGATCCCCAGGAAAGTGTTTTTTTTTTTTGTTTTTTTTTTGTGTTTTTTTTTGTAAAGTTTTTTGTTATTTTTGTTTACCAAAACACACATAAACAAACCCAGACCGATGAAAGGAAAATTAAAGTCCTTATTATTCTCCGAGACGTTTTCCTCCTCCGGGCAGACCGGAGAAAGCTTTCGCCCTCCCGACCCATCTTCTTTCGGTTTCGTTTTTCGAGCACATCGCGCACGCTGTTTAATAAATTAATGTTGAGTTGATTGAGCTTCAGCGGCAGCGAAGGCCGCCTGTAATTCCGTCTTCTAGTCCAAACGTGCAGAACATTTCGGTTGCATTGACGTTTTTGCCACTAATTTTATCAAATGAGCTAACGAAGCCGCTAGAAACAGCGAAGTTCTGGAGCAGTGCCAGCAGTGCTACATACACTGGGCAAGACGGCCGTCTCCAATTTGCGGGACACACGCGGAACTACAGCAGCGAAACCACGAGGAACTGTGTCGACGTTTTCGACGTTATGGAAATCGCGGGAACTGCGTCCAAGGAAGGCAGGTTTTCCTGCCGGCTGCCTGGGTGCCTTCCGTGCTGAGTTCGGTTCCGTTGTCCCGTGCCGAGTGCCAACCGGCGTTCAACGTGATTCTTCTGTGTGTCAGCAACATCGTCAACGTGGTTCTGTATTTCTTCGTGTCAGCGACATCGTGATGGCAGTGTTGTGGGTTGTGAACAGAAGACTGGAATTATCGCCGATGTGACCGTGTGTTCGCGTATCAGTGGTGTAACAACAAGATGAGATGACGTAAACTGTCGGGCATTGATGCCGCTGGTCGGGCCGTTATCGGAGGGGCCGGGGTGTCGCAGGATGACATTCCGCTTTACATTAAAGAGTTTAAAACCACTTGAGGGATTAGGTGCAGTCGATCGACGTGTGGATAGTCATGTTGGAACGCTGGTCTGAACGGTAAGCTCCTATCGTACAGTGGCCAATGTGACTGTCGGTCCCCGAGAGCGATTGCGCTCTGGGGAAAAGACAACACTACGAAAGTATGACGGAAAGTAGGTATATTTATAATGGAAGTTTAGCATAAAAAAAAAGACAGGCAAAATCGAAAACAAAAAAACGCTATCCTTTATTTTACTGTTTAAATATATTACGGTTCCTGTAGAAACTGCCCTCTAAGTGGCGCGCTGGGATGAGCGCTAGAAGTTTTCGAGCTCGCAACGGCGCAGCTCCGTACACTTAACAGTTGTCGGAAGTCGCGGCTTTGACTGCATTCAGGTTGATCGAAAAGCGATTTCTGTGCCCGTGAAGCATCACTTCCAGCTGAGTGGATATCCGCTCTACAGAGATTAATTCAAGACGGCAATTGCAGCTTTGCGCGAACAGCACAAATAGAAAAACGAACACTACAATATAAATACTGGCTACGAAGGGCCATGCGGGAAAACAAACTCGTGGCTTGGAACCACATTGAAGCGGCTCGATTTATTGGCTTTCAAATAATTATGGCATGATTGAGCGTCTTCTTTTTAATAAGAGATTCATCCCCTGAGCCATTAAAAATAGCCTCAGATGTATGACATTGCTGAAAAAAAATGAACATGTTCGGAATATTTTTTTTTGCTTAGGGAGTCACCGAAAAATTCCGCACGTTCAAAACGACCACTATAAAAGACGGAAACGCAGGGCTCGCTAGTAGTGATCGGGGTAGTGTGCTGTTGTATTGATGTTTGTATGTGCGATGCCTGTGTATGTGTTCAATATATGTTGACCTGATGTTTGTAGTGTGCGCAACGTGTCTACATGTGTTAGAGATTCCGAAGAAAAGGAAACGCAATTGTGGCGTAAGAAAATAAAAATATTTTTTTGTAAAACATGAATTGGGCGGTACCTAGCGCCACCTAGCCTAGCTACGCGCGATTACTCTGCTTGACCCTGCCATCTGGTGGCAAGCGATTTAACATCCTTTTACGCTACGCGGCTACGCCATAATTTCGTGTTACCGTGCTGAGATAAGCCAAGAGGTTGCTTCGGATTTGCTTTTTTTTGAGAGCGGCTTTTGGTTTTGCGGGCGAATGATTTTCACTCCTCCGTGATGTGCGGTTGACGCTACGGTTGACGAAGGAATTGTGGCTCGAGGAATAGCAAAGGTAGGACATAAAGTGCGCGAACTGAGTGCCGGTTGTCTCCGTTGAACATCGCAGTGCTGACGATGAGAAGACTGAGTGACTGCATGCTTTCGAAACGTAAGTTTCTTTACCTGCAGGGGTAAAGAAACTTCGGAAATAAATACAGTTCGCGGAAAGCTCGTGTTACGTTTTTATTTCCTGCTCCTCTCGCTTCGTGCAATAGACTTAGTGTTCTCGTTAAGCCTTACCGAGCTCGATTTGCTCGATTCGTGGCCGCCATAATGAGATGCAGTCGACGGAGGAACTTTTCCTCCCCTGCTTAAGGGACGAAAGTTTCTCCCTTTCTGAAGGAACATATGTGTCAAGAGCGTTCCTCCCTTTAGGGAGGACTATACTGACCCTTTTTTCTAAGAGTGTAGGGATGTATTCGAAAGCATGAAGCGCTCTTTGCTGGAATCCACAAATCCCAGAATTATTGCCGTCTTTACTTCAGTCCTTGTGTGTGTGAATTGAACCGCTCTCCATGACGGAGAAGTTGACGTCACGTAATTTATGCATAAATTCCATTTCGCCACGAAACTCAGACGAGAAATGGACACCACGTAACTCGACGTTGCGTGACGTAAGGTAGCAGCTGCATTTGGCGGACGGTTATAAAAAATAGGTTCGTCGCTCCCCGAAAATGCGGTTTAATGTCTTCTGAAAAATGTTAACGATCGCTTTAAATACAGCATTCCATGTGTTATAGGGCTTTGAAGATAAATGTCGCTATCAAGTTTTTGTTTTTCACTTTACATCTATTTAATTTTGGTTGACAACTGGTGGCTAATAAAAAAATAAAGTTAAACCCAATTTTCTTTTAATGCAGCATCCAACGGCTGGGCCATTGCGGTGCCAGTTATCCTCATCTTGGTAGGTATCGCCGGCGTCGGTTATCTGTACCGGAAGAGGAGAGCCGTGCCGTAAGTCTTCATTTGGATATCATTGCACTTTATGTTACTTACAAGTCACTGTTGTTCATAGAAAAACCAATTTTAAAGCACGAAACCCCACTAGTACAGTTCCTTGGGCCAACGTTTGGATGCTTGTCTGGTCATTTAGGGCCTTGAAAAACCCAAAAGGCAAGGTAGCACCAACCTTGGGATCCTTTGGTCTGCGTCTGGTATTGTTGCACTCTACCATTTCAGAAAATTGCCGGTTCAGTAGGTTCCGGCATTAATTACGCAAACATGTGCTCAAGGGAGCGCGGGTGCTCCCTCGACCAAGGAATCGAGATCCTGCTGGCTCTACTGAAATGAAGTGACCAAGATTTTTCCCCCAATATTCATTTTGTTCCTATTGTGGTGTATCTTCTTGCTTCCAATTTCGTTCTAACACTCATTTTCTTCCTCCCTTTTCAGTCATCGCAGATTGTTTTGTATACGCAAACGTAAAATTCTGTTTTCTGCAAGATAGCTCTGGTTATTTATTAATGTGTGATTACAAAACAAGGTTCAAAATTAGGCGTCACTCCTTATTATTCCGTTGATAGTTGAAGTGACCAAGATTTTGCTGCACCAATGTTCTTTTTTTTTCTTATTGTGGCGTATCATTTTGCTTCTAAGTTGGTTCTGAGACTCATCTTCTGCCTCATTTCAAATCATCGCATTTTATTTTTATATTCGCTATCGTGCAATCCTGTTTTCTGCCAGGTACATCTAGTTATTTATGAAAGGGGGACTGCCAAACAAGTGCCAGAATTAGGCTTGACTCCTTATTAATCCGTGAATATGTGATATTTTTGTCTTGCATCTGGTACTTTGGAAATCATTTTAAGAACCAGAGAAAAGCCCCTTAAGAAGGACCAAAGGAAAGTACTTTGGCAATAACTGACGACCATGATCAAAATCTTAAGCCGAAGTTAGGTCCCTAGACGGCGAAACTCAGGGCAAGTTACGCGTTTCTTATGCATGCTGCCTGTGGAAGGAATAATATAATCATGGTAGACTAGCCTTAAGTGGCCTCGAAGTTTAAACGTTTATAGTTTTGAACAGAGATATAAGGAAAGACAGATGCTGTCGAAGAAACAAGGAAGCGTTTGTCAAATTAGAGGCGCGGCAGAGTTCGTGATTCATTGTAAGAGGGAACTTCATAAAAGAATCACGATAGCGTGGTGCGTACAAAGAGACAAACAAGGGTGTTGTAACTGTCCGATTTTGTAATGTTCGCCTTCTGCGGATCTCTTTTGTGGATGCGGTCATTTTGCACTATTGCTTTCTTTAGAAAAGAAAACATTTATGTCTAGAGTGGTCCCCAAACTGCACCATGCCAGAATATAGTTCTTTTTGGGACAGTTTTTCTGATATTATTGTGCCTATCGGTCAAACTACCTGATGAAGTTTGGACTCACAGGTCGCGACATTTCCCAATGAAGACTTTCCAGCTAATGCAGGAACCAACTTCTTTTGGGCTAGACAACAAAACATCAGTACTCGGGTGTCAAATGGCGACGTTAAGTTTGAGATTCGCTTTACACTACTAGACAAAGTATGCTAAAACGCACAAGCAGCCACCCACCGAGAGATACAGCTAGAGGAGAACCCGAACTTCTAATTTAAAATGCTCCAGCTCGACCAAGTTTAGTTTTACCGGGTTCCAGAAGCCCTTCGATGCATCTCGTCGTCTTGCTTTTTGCTATCGTGAAGCAGTGCATGGCGATCTGGTTTGAACATATCGATTTATTTCCTATACATCACTCTATGTCAAACCGACATCTACACAACTTTTCTGTGGGAGTCGATCAATCAGAGGCAAAAGCGCATCATCACAGCGCTTCTCGTCTATGCGTTTTCTATGTTCGCCAAGACCAATGAGACACAGTGAATGTCCCGAGATCCTGCGCGATTTTTGTGTGCGTGTTAGGTCTAGCCGTGGTGATGGCTAATGCAGACACAGAATGAGCGCCACAACGATGCACTTCTAGGAATGCTCCATTGACTCTATCTAATTGTAGCGTCGGCTGCGGTCATACTTAGTGCAAAATGTAGCATAGACACCCCCTCGTTTCGTCTTAGCGGATTATAAAGTGTCACAATACTTCAAATGGAAGATGATCACTTGGTTTTCACGACAGCATATCGAGCCGTCTTCCTTTCAGGTATATTCTTAATCCAGACAAAATAAATAGTCCGTAATTTCTTCTTGTTTTTCTCAAATATTGAATTAGTTATATAATCTCGATCAAAAGTCTGGAATCTCCAGAGTAAAAAAAAGTTATTATGCCAATGTGTTTATTTATTTTTTACTTGTGAGCATTTTTGCGTTATAGCAGTTTTTTTCCTTTACTTCCGAATGTTTGCCGTGGAATTTTATTTTATAAAACTGTTTGCGCTGGTTATAATATTGTTTTATCTACGTAAATTTGTTTCAACCGCATTACTTCCTCTGGAGGGCTAGTGCTTCACGTTGCTAACTTTACTCTGGATAAGAAGCCAAAGTTACGTTAAAATATTATAATTCTCTGATTGATTTTATGTGTACCCCCAATATCGCCACTGACAAGGTGGGAGCGACAGGGAAGATCTCGGGTTGTCCCGTCTCCTGGGCGAGCTTCGCACCTTCGACAACACTTCGACGTTTTTGTGCCCCTCGAGCTCACGCGGGCAGTCAAAGCAAGGCGAAAAGCATTGAGCGCGTGATGCAGGATGGGCCTTCGATAGGCACGTCCTGGCGCTTTTCTTTTGTCAGCGACTATACTGATCATGTATAAAAAAGAGGGCGGGGGGCAAGGTAAATAACATATTATCATTGTGGTCGAAACAAATTTGTGATAGCTGTCCCTTTTCTTGAAAATGATATAAGAGGGATATATACTTGTGTTTAAACACCTTTCCCCAGTAAGGCTTACACTTATACAAAGTAATCAAAATAATTGAGTAAATAGGTTACCTTTATATACACGAATGTTTCAATTGTAGTACTACTCTTGCAGTCGTTACAAATTGTAATAGTAAATAATACGATTTATTATAATCATATTTATTACGGTATAATAAAGTATACAAGTTTGTTTACCGGGCAATAAATTAACCATGCAGAGTATAGAAAGCCACCTCAACGTTTTGACGTTCTTTATACCAGCTAGTTACACCACTTGCGCTTTAAACTAGGTGTTATGACGTTATTGCCAACAGAGACACTAATGGAATGCGGAATCTTGAATTATTTCGACTTATGCCGCCTCATATATAACATATGGGGACAGTTGTTTTTGTCTTTTGTGAAACACAATCTCAGGTAACATCTTTATATACATTTTTTTTTTCAGGAGCTCCGCGCTGTTTGTGAGCAACCCAACGTACGACGCCAACACAGATCAAGCGAGTAAGGATGGCTTAAAAATCCCGTGTTTTGTAGCAACAGTATAGTATATTGTGCATGCACCGAAAGCCACGCAAATCCTATTGTGTTTAAACTAATACGTGTTTATCTTTTGTTCCTTACAGGAATCCTCAACTAGCTTATCCACAACCCCGCAAGAAAGCATGAGAAAAATTTGCTTAAAACGATCATAAATAAAGTCATTATGGAGACATCGACCCGAGACAGATTTCATTTTGTCTTGCCATCTTCTAGTCAGATGAGTCATAGTTTATGAGAAGTCAAAAGAATGCGAATAACATTCGGTGTTAATAATTTGTTTGTTATTGAATAGCCACTTGTGATAAATGTAGGCTATTTGATTCACCCGAGTACCCCAGGAAAAAAACGGAAAAAACGCAATAATAAACAAGTTGCACTCATAAACGTAATGAAAATAGATCAGTTTGTAAGTAATTGATCGGGTTTATATGTTACAAGATGCAATAATAAACATCGAATAACATTTATTAATAAACTATGGTGTGTCAGTGAAATTTATATGCTTTCTGTCATTACTGTTGCATTTAAAAATACATATCCCAAGATATTAAAAAAAAAATATTGCAATATATTTTAGACACATAAATGTGTTAATCTTGAAAAGATTATCAGGCATATGAAGAAACAATTGGTGGGCAAATATGTCTTATTTTTGGAGACTCAAATTATGTATTATAACGAATGACTTAGTGATTTGCGTAGAAATTAATATCGTTTAATGAGGGCTTTTTGTTTCGGACATCTTTCTCACAGTTTCATACTCAAGGTATTCTGTGCAGCCTGCGTTGCAATACTAATGATGTGTTCGTCCTCTACTATGAAAATAACTTTTATTTATTATAGACACGTGCTTCTAGGTTTTCTATTAGAAACAACAATCAAAAACACGTACGCGTTCGGAGTTTTGTTTGAAGCTTAAAGTTTTTTTGTTTTTTTTTGGCAAAGGCTGGCAGAGCTACAGAAAAATTCAAATGTTTGTGTTCGTGCAAAAGTGACCTGGTTTTCACGAAAACGTTTCGGACATGTTGTAAGAATGTTTCTAAAGATGTAAACTTGAATAGGAATAGTGTGTTTCAAAAACCGACAGAGACGGCCATTACACATTTCGAAAGAATTTATCATCGCCTTTAACTCAGCTGCCTTGTTTATTACCCAGTAACAAGAAACCTTGACTGCAGACGCATAACGTGTGCAAAAGTTATGTAGGTACAATGTTTCCAGTAATTCACTACATTAAGTGTTTTTCGCGCTTAGAAAACGAGGATCATCAATCAGGTGGTTTTCCTGGGACTACGAGGCTTTCCGAACGCCGGTGTTTCAACGCCGGACTATGCGTGAGGAGCAGAATACGTTGTCACTTGCTCTGAGTGAAGCGGACATTGTGGTTAGAGACAAAATTAGCTACTTATGGCGTCTATCAACTACCCTTCCGTCCAGAGATCGGCCCTTAGATATCACTCACGCTAGCATCTTGGAAACGCCTGAGAGCAGTTTGGCCACCCACATAAAGCGAGCCATTCTAAATTCGACGTGAGAGTCGTTTTGTATCACGAATTTCTCTTACTCAAAAATTTCCTAATGCCTAGAATTTTTGAGGGCATTCAATAATTCGAACTTTAAACAAGGAAAAAATTTTATCAGAAGAAATTTTTGCACTTTGGACGCTTTAATGTCTCTTCAAATTGGTACTGCGGGGTGAAATTATATACAAGTTAAAATTTTAATTTATTTTAGCAATTAGTGATAAATAATCTCAGGAAACAAAAACTGCAGAGCCCCTCTGCCAAACGCGAAACATTTATAAGGTGTCTGCAGTCGTTTAAAGCCAGCACATCGTATTTAAAAAGGCGGTGCAATGATTTTAACACTGAAGGAATGTGCAGCTTGTATTTTTTATATTTTTTACTTTGGCATAAGTAAGAAAAAAAGTGACACCATACCCCAAAATACCTCTATTTCCGCTGCGTAATCGTAAAATAAAAAAAACTTTTTTTCCCAACCTGCGGCCACATGGTGACCGCAAATGGAACCTGTGGTGTGACGTCTTTCGAAGTGGTTTTTGTAAGTGATAGTGTTAGGCAATTGTAAGCTTGATTTAAGGTCAAGTTTAAAAAATCTTGTTGTTTAGGCATGCAGAAACGCTTCAAAAGCCCAATATTGCCGCTAAAAGGGTATGAATTATTTGTGGCGCCATTTACAGCAAGTCAACAAAACCTGCCGTCGCCGTCATCCGTCGACGCCCGAGGCGCCTACGGCGGCTACAGGAGCAACCCGGACGTTTTGTCTTTCCCTCGCTCCACGGAGTGCGTTGGTCGTGGTCCGTAGTATCGTGGTATCGTTATTGTTCCTGGTGTCTCGACCTCGACTTCGACTGCCCGCCGCGTCGCAAGCATCTTGCGCTCGACGTCGCTCAGGCCGTCCGCCCACGCCGCCATGTTGGTCGGGAATCGGCGGGAGAGCGGGAGAGTGGCGAGCCTGGCGAGCCGGCGAGCGCTGGGGAAACGAAAGCCAGAAACCACCCAACCGGAAACCAACGCCACTCGGAATGACGTCACAGGCGAAGCTGGTGCCGCTTCAATGTTGGGTTGAGGGGTGCCAGAGATACCAATTTCTTTTATTTTTTTAAATGAAAACTAGGGCAAGCAGGAAAGAATAGTTTTCGGTCCTTGGTTTTATATGTGGCCGGGATCAATTCCCGAAATTAATTAGCCAAAGTCCGCAAATTGTTGCACCGCACCTTTAATCCTACCACATATCTTGCTGTAATTTCTAGGTATTGACAGTAGCATTAACTCGCAGGCGTCGATTATAAAAACTCAAGTTTTGAATTCGCACGATGGTGTTGAAACAAAAGACATTCAATACAATTATACTCCGAGATTTATTAAGGCAACAGACAAAATATTGTCAAATGTGTTTTATTTGCCTGATGAGCAGAATCGCCTTGGCTCAGCGATGATTCAAGTGCCTTTACAAGTGAATATTATTAAAAAAAAATTAAAACAGCTATCGTTTCCTAACGCAAGTGTTTAAAAGAGGCTCCATGTTATATATGCATCAAATAAAAGCAATATATGTACACTTTCGTAGCAAGAAAATGGACCCCGTCATTAGAATGAGACAAGTGCGCCCAGGCTCACACTGACAACGTTTTTTTTTTTTGTTTTTTTTGTGGCAGGAGCATTTTGATTTGAATGATTTTGCCAAAAACGTGCTACTTCCATATGTTATACGTAGTGTTCGGAGTTTTCGGTTTAAACCGATAAAAACCGATAAAAGTACGCCGAATCCATTTTCGGGAATTCGGTTTTAACCGAAACAGGTCAGGTTGTAGGTTTGGCGTTTTCGGTTTAAACCGATAAAAGTATGTCTAATCCATTTTCTAAAAATCGGTTTTAACCAAAAAAGGTCAGTTTTTTAGGGCGGAATCGAGGTGGAAGGGGGGAGGGGGGGAGGGAGAGAGAGAGAGGATTTTGCAAGGCTCGACATTGTGTGACGTCTTCGTAATTGCCCTCTCCGATGGTTCAACATGCAACAAAAGAGATCTTGGATTGGCCTTCGCGGGACATCTGTGTCCTTTCTGTGATCGGACTTAGTGTTAGTGCGTCCAGTTCCAGGTCCTAGTGCACTTCAGAGGGCATCCAAGAAACCCGTAAATACCTTTCTTAACACCCTTTCTCAAACTTCCCTGTGATTGAGAACATATATTCAATAGTTTTTTTTTTCTTTCGCCATTCCGCTGGTTCCTGTATGGTCATCGCCTCAGACGGTCACATTGTCAAACTGGGGAGGAAAAAGAAGTGCGCTGAAGATTATGCCCGCGAATTCCGCGATTTTGAGGTGTGTCCTGACGGAAGTTGTAGCGAAGACCACGTATGTATATGTGTCGTTATTCTTTGAGTGATCACAAATATCACAGCTACTAGGATCATCTGATCCGGTGTCCGATGGTGTTTCTTTAATATTTACCGAAAAAACCGGTAAACATTTTTTGGAAAAAATATACATAAAAAAATAGTTTTAAAATAAACACCGAAAAATGTGCGCCGAATTTTGAAAATATAAAAACCGAAAACGCGGAACCCTCATGGCCAAGAATCCGAGACATTCGGTTTAGTTCCATTCCGCGACGACATGTAGCGCCTAAGCCCCGAGCGAAATCACTTTTCCAATTTCCAATGTGCCCTCTGTTTCCGCCCGCACCGCCAATCTTATCTTCGAATCCGGAGAGGAGACATCGTAATGCAGTAAGGGCATAGCACTGATAACACGCTCAAGACAGCTCCGAACCTCGGAACCTCTCAAGGTCACAGCTGGGCGCGCCTAGCGCAGACGTGCAATGTGGAATTGCTTCTCCCGCAGTCAATGTGCATTCTAAAGTGATAAGCTAACGCTCAAGACTATTGCTCCATCGCTAAAAGCCAAATTTAAACCGAGCAAAGTTAAAGCTATACTTCGTCTCACCTTAGCATGGACTGGCCCCAAAGGCTGCTCTAGCGCGAGACGGTAGACTTGATTGGCGTTCGCGCCACACGAGTCCTCGTGCAGCCGCCGAGGTGTCGTCGAAGCACGCCACCAACAATAGCCCATGCTAAGGTTAGACGAAGTATTGAAGCGCGAGCCGAATCCTCTGCGTTTTCCTACCTCGCACCTACAGTGTACTAGAATATTCTAGTACACTGTATCACACCGGCGGTAGTGCATCGGACATAAGGTAAAACGATGCTAAAAGTGCTCTGTTTCAGGCTCGGCTTTCTCTTATCACTGGGGCCTGTTAGAGAGGGTCTTCTGGCTTAGGGCACCTTGGCTCAGGCTAAACTTTGTCTCACCTCAGCATGAACTATTGTTAGCCATGCATGCTAAAGGCGCGAGCCGTTTCCTTTGAATCACTCCTCGGTGGCTGCGCGAGCGCTCGGGCAGAGAATACTTCAGTCGAGTTTGTCAAGGCTAGCCGCTCGCGCTTGCACAACCTTTTCAGTAGTACTTCGCAGTCTCACGTTAACATGGACTAACCACGGAGGCTGCGCTAGCGTGAGACGGCAGCCCTGACTGCGTAGATTGGCATCCTCGCAGTACGAGTGCTCGCGCAGCTGCCGAGGCGTCATCCAAAGCGATTACCCCAGGCTTTTATTGCGCGTGGTTGCTAAAAAGACACAATTATAGCTTTGGCCGTGATACGGTGGAATATGCACGTCAGCTATTTATTTGTCTTTTTGTAAACAAGCTCACTATGGTGGGTGACAGCTCAAGAGTGCAGTGGAAGCTCCGCCTTCAGCGCGCGCTCCTTGCCTTTCGCCGCGCTCTGGCTGCGCGTGCACACTTGTGCTATCAAGGCCACAAAGCTCGTGCTGTAAGCGGAGCTTCCACTGCACTCTTGAGCTGTCACAG